ATTAAAGTTTCATTACTTCGGTAACTACTGATTTATTTCTTGCGATTTTCAAATGGCGTTGTGACTTAATAGCGACACCGGAAAATTCCTATGATGATTCCTAGAGACTCCCGTCTCTAGTTGCTTCTTTTTCTCCAATCTATTTTTTATTTTGTATTCATTTTTCGCCTATGAAAACATTGTAAATTAGCAATTGTAAATCAAATTTCTTAATCAAAAAAATTTACTTTTTACGATTTCTTATGCTAGTATATATTTGTTACAGAATAATAAGAATACAATGCAAGGAAAACAGTTTTCTATAGCAATCTTATTAACCCTTTGACTGCCACGCCGAAATCACGTGTTTCCCTCGGGAAATGGGAGTGCACCGCTAGATGCAAGATTTATTCTAATATATTTTTGACGTTCTAATAAAAATTTTTAATTGTTCAATGGGGCACTTTTTATTTCAAAGTATCTTCTAATTAGCGGTTATGTTCAAAATCTGCTAATTGTCAATTTTCATTCAATGTTGTTCAATGTAGTTTAAGTAGTTCAAGCGCTCTGGTCACCAATGACCACCGTGGCAGTCAAAGTGTTAATATCTAGTAAATATCTGAAAAACTATCGAGTAGTGGCGGTTATAATGATATATATTCTTGAATTGCATGACGAAATCTACAAACCTACAAAGTTTCGATTAAATCGGTGACCCGAAGGACTTGCACTCTCCTTGTGAGGCAGGTGTGAAACTACAGTGTCAACGCAAGATATTCCACGATCAACCAGTTTTGATCACAGCCAATTCGATCAGTTGAATACCTAACCAGGTCTATGTCAATCATGTTGTAGGATAACTGCTAATCTCCTTATATTCTGTACATCGTCACTAGGTCGATCTTAATTGGCGACAATTAGTGACGAACGGTTCATTGAGAAAGGTTCTGTCTAGCTTCGAAGTGGTAAGTGGATTGTATTTTAGGAGAACTATCTTCGTGACTGCTCTGTCGGTGGTTTTATAATCTTCGTCTGTCTACTAATTGGTTGCGAATAATATTGGGGGTGTGTTTAAACAATCTGGATCCTTATGCCTGTCGTCTTAATGGTGATATATTGTTGCTTGTTACGGTTTACCCAAGTGGTGGCTTAGGTGACAATGAGTGTATAGAAGTCAAGGGACGCTGACAATAAAGACATAAAACAGTCCTCCACTTGACCTAGGACATTGCGGTCCTAGGGCCGTAACACGAGTAAACCCAAGTGTTCCCTTGCATCATGTATGACAGTTAATTGATAGTTGAGTCGATTGCTGCATCAATTAACACGTTCGTCGCCCAACGCGACAGACCTTAGAACCGTGAGAATGACAGTATTCGGTAGGTAACAAAAATACCGAAGAGGAAAAAATAAAAGTAAATACTGCGTGACTCGTAGTTGGAACCGGAAGTGAAGGATGATCGAAGCAGCAGAGCCAGTAGCCCCGGCTACTCGACGAACTCCATCGATCAACGTTACGTCTTGCCCACCGATGCACGAAAAACTCGAATGGGAAGCTATTCCGTATGTAAACGATAAGAGCGTGACAGTAATAGGTGGCGTAACATTAACAGCTCTCGGTAGCGCTAACGATAATACCAATGGCGGTAACGTAGACGGCGCTGGGGGGACGGTAGTGGAGGGTTAGACAGTGACAAACCGCCTTGGCCCGCTGTGATTTCAGTTAATTGTCGGCGGGGCCATTTCTCACTCCATGGCCACGGCTTCTGCCCGGGCGACGACGTTGTAAATATCCCTAAAGGCGCCACGGGTAAAGGGCTAAAGGTAGAACGTCTTACTCCGGTAGGCTTAGTTTAGCCCGGCTTAACCTTTCGCTCGTAAGCCGTTTCTTCCTTTTCTTTTCTCCCTTTCTCCCAACGACCTCGTGTCTATTGACGATGCACCGTACTCTCCGACCTCTCCGAACCGTCCGCCATTCGCCTCCATTCGCCTCCTTCGATATTTCATTCCTAACGTTCCAGAAATTATCTCCGCTTTTTCCAACCTTCGCCACCTTTTCCCTTCTTTCTCTCGGTTCATTCGCATTTTTCTCTTCCTTTTCCGTATCGCCGAATTTTCTACTCGATTTACCTCGGTACGGGTCGCGGGGAACGGATGTTATTCGATTCGATAGGAATTTAATCCTTTCACGAGTACGTATGTAGTAAAAATAATATTGCGCAAGGAATATGACACGCGTAGTAAGAAGAAAATTCCGAGATTATATAGACAAAATGGGAAAACAGTTCAGCGAGGTGTATACAGGATATTTGGGATAAACGTTTGTTGTAGATATAGGCCGTGGTGGCGCTAGTGAGTTATACGGAAACGTCTTAAGACTGCCTAAGCGCTCGCTCGTGAAGGGGATTATTTAAAATTTTAAAGAATTATTCCGAGATTATATCGACAAAATGGGAAAACAGTTCAGCGAGGTGTATACAGGATATTTGGGATAAACGTTTGTTGTAGATATGGGCCGTGGTGGCGCTAGTGAGTTATACGGAAACGTCTTAAGACTGCCTAAGCGCTCGCTCGTGAAGGGGATTATTTAAAATTTTAAAGAATTATTCCGAGATTATATCGACAAAATGGGAAAACAGTTCAGCGAGGTGTATACAGGATATTTGGGATAAACGTTTGTTGTAGATATGGGCCGTGGTGGCGCTAGTGAGTTATACGGAAACGTCTTAAGACTGCCTAAGCGCTCGCTCGTGAAGGGAATTATTTTAGATTTTAAAGAATTAGCGATGAATCGTATTAGCCTGAAGACTAATTGTTGAATTTATGATTTGAATGATGTGTGCTGTGTAGGATAGCCTAATCTGGACAAAAGGCTATCCTCAATCAGTCAAGTCAGGAGCATTCATGGTTAATACGTCTCTGATACAAGTTCTCCTTTTCATATATTTTTTCCTGAATATGTATCCTAATTTTATGTAATCTACTTAGTGTGTTGTGCGTGTACATGATTGGTGAGAAATATATATTCCTTCAATTCTGATATGGTGTATTTAATAATCGCACGTGCATTCTAACACTAACATTTTTCAAACGTTGATTGGAAGATGGATGAGAATACAAGTTCTAATCTCCTGTCTGCTGATGCTAACCTTCTGCTTGATGTAGTAATGTATCATTTCCCTATGTAGCATAGTTTTTCCCATCTTATGCATTATGTCATCTTTTTCTTTGCACGTATACGTCGTGTTTCGCTTCTTTCTCTTCTCATTCTGTGTGCAATCTATTAAATAACCAGAAGGATTGTTTGGTTTCTATGTATTGAAAATATTTTGTGCTTCTAATCAATTTCTAAATATATTACATACGAATGATAATAATTGTGATATAATAAATAATATGAATGATAGGATTAGTAGAATTATTTTACTTCGATATTCCACGGATCGTTGGGTAATTTTAAATTTGACATACTAATTAATTAATAATAATCGATATTTAGAATTCGATTAAATGCAAAGGGTTAGTACCAAAAAATAACGTATACAAGAAGTATTCAATTTGAGTTAACAACTACTCCATTCGCAATTAAATTCTAGAAAAATTTAAGACTTTCATCAAATCTTGTATATATTAAAACACATTAAATATAATGATGGTCATGTAACAAGTAGCATATAATTCGAATATTCGACAAGAACTTATGACGAGTTAGGCTCGTTATTATAGTGCAAAAGATTAAGGTATAAATATCTATATAAGTATTCTGCTTATAAAGAATATACTAACTCAAAAATACCGAGAACGGTGGAGATCATGATTGAAAAAAATGGCATTGCAAACGTGAAAAATTCCGTCTCGAAATTAAAATAAACAAATTTCTCATTCTCCTCTCGAGCTTTTATTATTCCAGGTCATTTGAAAGTCACGGTGCAACGTTTCTTCGAATTTATTTCGACGTGCAGTATAACGTTGCACTATAAAAGACAGATGTTCGTATGTGAAAAATATCCGTTTTGAAAATTCGGAAAGAAAAACGATGTCGAGAAGAAAATCATGAATCATGATATTTATCGCTTTAAACCAATCAATTTATTACAGCAGAATTTCATTTATAGATGCAAATGTGAATAATAATTAATGATATTAATTTACAATATTAATATATTAATTAATAATAACATAAATAATTCTTTTATACATGTAAATGGAAGAAATAACAGAAAACACGAGATAAACGAAACACCTTGTATATTATATTTTGCTATATATACTATATTCTGCTATATTACTATAATACTATATTTTTTGTAGATAATTATTTTATTGCTGTAAATGGTAGAAAAAAAAAGCAGAAAACACGAGATAAACGAAACACCCTGTATATTATATTTTGCTATATATACTATATTTTGCTACATTACTATGTTACTATTTTTTTGTAAATAATTCTTTTATAGATGTAAATGTAAATACTAATTAATGGCATTAATTCATAATATTAATATATTAATTAATAATAATACAAGTAATTCTTTTACACATGTAAATGTAAGAAATAACAGAAAATACGAGATAAACGAAACACCTTGTATATTATATTTTACGCCTGAACACCACATGTTCAACACCATCAATACCACAGCATGAAAAAGAAAAAGTTAGGTTATGTTAGGTTCACTGTCTGCAAAGTGCCATTTTGTTCTAAAAAAAGCAAATTTTTCGATGACTTTCATGGAAAACAATAGTAACATGACAGAATTATGCATATTGCACTCTGTATCAAAGGATTTATTGAAACGTTATTTTTATTTTTCTCATTTTGTGCAATATTTTATGTTAAATAATAAAACCGAGCACTTCTTTCCATATTTTTATATTAAATAAAATTCCAACTCGGGTTTTTATTTTCTCTCAAAAACGTGCACCACAAAAATTCGTTAAAATTTACAATTCTTATTTACAATACTTGCTTCTATTCTTCGTGGTGTAAAAGAAATTCTATCGTAATGGTGGGAAGAAACCTGTCTACCGTAGAACAGCGAGTACAAGCAATTGGAATGTGGATTAGGGGAAGCTGTGTCATCGGCCCCTGTAAATCGTCACCCCAGGAGGAAACGTAGAAGGGCAGGGCTGACGCTGAAGCAGGGAAAGAAACACAAAACGATTGAACGACCCAGCAATCTTGTTTTGACCTTCTAATAATACTCGACGTATTGGACCTTCCTGTGGTATTTTTATTGCTCACTATACTCGCGCTATAGTTCCTTAGACCCTACGACGCTATAAAAAAAATCGTATGGCTTTATCGGAAAAAAAGGAAAAAGGAAAAAAGAGATAATATTTAACGCGATTGTGAAATTTTTTGGGCTCCGTATTGTCCGATGCACGTAAATAAATTCTGGTTAACGGATTTTTCTGTGGCAAATGAGACAAGAATTGCGCTGACAATTTGATAAAATTTTATCGAGTACGTGCCATTATATTAATCGTACTGTCTCGCGGGATTTAATCAAATTTGACAAGCCAGAGGAATAAACATTTATGGACAAAAAGACAAGAGATAATCGCGTTTTCCAGTGTGAGCAAGATGAATTATAATTCTGTTCGCGTAATCTTAACAATGCCAAAGATAATAATATACAGTCGAATAAGGGGAACAAAACGAGGATTAAATGTTTCAACTGAAATTAGTTTAATATCTTTCTCTGGGACTGAAATCAATTTATTCGTTCTTAAATTATTTCTTCCAAAATTTGTTTCGGGAATATCACAAGGGTGTTCAATTTCGAAGGTATATAAATTTGTTGCGCGAATATTAAGTACAAAACGAAATATAATAGCACAAAAACGCCATTTTCTTATCGATTATGCGTTTAGGTAAATATTTGCCTAATAAAGCAGAAATTAAATATAGAGATTACAATTGGCATAATATCTTCCCAGCAAAACCTAACATTGCAAAATTTAAAATCTCGATTTACAAGTAAAATTAACTCACTAATTCCTAAACTACTCTTCCAAAATTTGTTTCGCGAATATTAAATATAAAACGAACGAAATTCTGTAGCACAAAGACACTATTATCTTATCGATCATGCGTCTACGTAAATATTTGCCAAATATAGCAGAAATTAAATATCGAGATTACAATTAGCATAATATCTTTCTATCAAAATCTAGCATTGCAAAATAGTTTAATATCTCGATTTACAATTAAAATAAACACGTCAATTCCTAAATTACTCTTCCAAAATTTGTTTCGCGAATATCAGATTTCAAAACGAACGAAATATAATAGCACAAAGACACCATTTTCTTATCGATCATGCGTCTACTGAAATATTTTCCAAATATAAGAGAAATTAGATATCGTGATTACAATTAGTATAATATCTTCCTATCAGAGCCTAACATTGCAAAATATTTCAATATCTCGATCTATAATTAAAATTAACTCACTAATTTCTAAATTACTCTTCCAAAATTTATTTCGCGAATATTAAATATAAAACGAACACAATATAATAGCACAAAGACACTATTATCTTATCGATCATGCGTCTATGTAAATATTTGCCAAATATAGCAGAAACTAAATATCGAGGTTACAATTAGCATAATATCTTTCTATCAAAATCTAGCATTGCAAAATAGTTTAATGTCTCGATTTACAATTAAAATAAACACGTCAATTCCTAAATTACTCTTCCAAAATTTGTTTCACGAATATTAAATCTAAAACGAACGAAATTCAATAGCACAAAGACACCATTTTCTTATCTACTAAAATATTTTCCAAATAAACCAAAAATTAAATATTCTAATTAGAATTATTATTTCTCCCAAAACTAAAATGAACTCGTCTAAAATCTAACCCAAATTATCCCTCTCAAAAATTACTCTCGCAAAACATCGCAAATATTCCATTCCCTCTCCAAATATATGCTTCCATGCTTATATGCTTAATCCATTCGCATCTCGAATAGTGATAGACGAAAAGGGTTCAACCTCTAATTCCCTTTTCCTCCCATTACACAATCCAAAATCTCATGACGAAGCAATGGTCACATGACTTGACACTTCTGACAATTTTTTGACACTTTTCCAACACTGAAATTAAATATCCAAACCACTCGCGAGCACAACTTAACAAAAATTTCGCTACAACGTTGTACTCCCAGTGAATTCTCACTAACAGATGGGTTAATCACAATTTGATCGGTGGAAGCTGCGAAAGCGGCGTGTCCTGAAAATTGCCTGCGCGATTTATCTAATTTCCGACAGGATAATCAGCGGGGCTAATCGAACGGTAAAGCGGCAAGACCAGTAGTTGGCTAGGTATGTAAAATGTTGCTAATTGACGCGCGCGCAGCCTTAAGGTTACGTAAAGCCGCGAGATAAATTGCATAAGGGGCGGACATTAACCGGGCGCGCAATTAAATTGATAGAGCATGAAACGAGGAAAGAATAAGCAATGAACGTTCGGGTTACTAGTTAGCCATAAAACGCTGGTTGGTCGAGTGTCGTGACTAGTCGACCGCAGTTATTACGAACGAATATACGACACGTGGTCGTACCGCACGCCGCCGCGGCGAACGGGCTGATGGTGACAGTTCAATCCGAACTTCGGCGTTCGGCGGTCAGAAATGCTGGCCGCAAACCGCACGCGTGATTTCTGCCTCTCTTTGCCCCTGCCGAATCACCGCGTCGTTTCTCCCGATCCCATTTTCCATACCTTTTTCCCGCTTTAAACCCGTTATTAACGTCAGAAAATCACCATCCGCCAGTTTCGCTCCAGCAGCTCTCCCACCTTCTCACTAGCCTAGCTAGCTCACAGTTCCGCGCCTGTTCTACGCAGATCATATGCACGCTCGAAAGTGATAGGAATCCGAGTCGACCGTAGAATGTTTCCATACGTTTATATTCTTACGGAACAAGTTTGATCTCTCTTACAATGGATCACTTCGTTGCTGCATATTGAGCTAACAACAATACAAAATAAAACACAGATGAAAAGACGTACCAACCTGGACGGGAATCGAACCCCCGGACCCGCAGCGTATGAACTTTCGCACCTCGCCGCTCGGCCACAACGATATTGGAAAAATAGTAGAAATATTGTGTAGTTAAGGAAGTAATAAAACTTTAATTATAAATATCTCAAAAACTACTGAGTAGTTACCCATATAATGATACATTTTCTTGAACTGCATGACGAGATCTACAAACCTGCAAAGTTTGAACCAAATCGATGACCCAAAGGACTTGCACTCTCCTTGTAAGACTCACAAGTAGAGTGCAAGTCCTTCGGGTCACCGATTTAATTAAAATTTTCCAGGTTTGTAGATATCGTCACACAGTTCAAGAAAATTTACCGTTATTTTATAATATTGATATTTATGATTAGAGTTTCATTATTCTTAACTGCAGATTTCTTCCGAATAGTTATCGACAGTTATCAAGTGGCATTGTAGCCTAACGGTAACATCCGAAAATTGTCACCAGCGTTGGTGATAATCACCAAAATTACCATTAATGATAATTTTATTATTGCCTTAATTACAGATTTATTTCGAATATTAACCGTTTGAGTCCCATAGGTTTTTGGAAGATAGCGCTTGTTTAATTTCACTGCACAAATCGATTAACTCCAATTTCTGAAAAATCTTAAATTTAAGTATCAAAGCACTTGGTATAGTCACAACTTTTTATATTTATAATAACTTTCCCCGATAATTAAGATTAACACCGTTAAACGACAAAAATTTTTTGGCCACTGAATAATAAATAATTTATTTCAGAGATCACTTTGATTAACTCCGTACTCTAATGTAAATCGTTGCAATGATGCAATTCAAATGCACCAGCAAGCCATGAATGATAACGGTGAATTTTTTAGCGCCGTCTTATCAGAATTTAAGTAAAATTTAGTAAAATTTAAATTTATTACTTTTTTCACTTGCCAAATCGATTAACTCTTCCAGTAACATAAAAATGGTAACATTACTAACGATTACCTTTTGGCTATTTTTTCTTATAAATTTTATATACCGTTAGATGAAAGTTACATTTGTATTTATGCATTCTACGATATTTATTTCGATTTAAATTATAAAGGGAATTTTAAAAAACAATATACATTATTTCATTGCATTTCTCCACTTTTTGTTATATGGAGTTAATCAATTTGTGTAGTGAACGGCTTATATATATTAAGAATAATGAAAATTTGATCGTGGGTCTCTGAACGGGATATAAAACTATATAAAAGGTACGTGGCAGTCACAAAGTGTTATATCATACTGGAAGAGGTTAAATAAACAAATGAAATTTTATTTTATCAACGCACGTTACGGGCAGACGGACATTTCTTTGAATAATATGGGAAGAAAAAGAAAGGAATAAACTATTAGCGGTAAACCGAGGGAATAATGGGGAATTTTCGGTGAACCAGTTAAGGGAACGATATATTAATTCGTGGGTGGCTGGCGCACGATGATCGACACACGTTCACGGGAATCGTGGTCCAGAACGAGGAAGAGGAAGAGGAAGGCGGACTGGCACCGCAGTTTGCCAATTTCCCGCAGGCGTTGTGCGTAGGTGCGCGACCGGTTAACGGGTTGGGAGATGAAGTGCGCGAACGAACGAGATTCGGAGAGAGGCGAAGCGGAGGCTGATGTGCGGTCGAACAGATTAATATGCGCGAGGCTCGCACGCTTCAAACCCCCGCAGGCCCTCCTGGTTCTCCGTCCTTCAGTTTCACCCGCGTGCTGCGCCCGCCGTCGTGTCGTCCTTTCATTCCTGCAAAACATACAATACGTGCGTGAACACGTAGAACTACGTATGCTCGCGATTGTGCGAGCTACGAGTGCCCTGACCGTTTAGTAATTTCTGTCACGAGTCGAGTGTTCCGCACGGAACGTCAACGCGGCCCGTTACTGCAAAACGCCTCTACCCCCACCCTCGCCCGGCCGCTCTTTCTCTTCCCCCCACCGCCGCCGCCACCCTGTCTCCCTCCCACCCACGGCTCCTCCGTTTACGTATGCGCCGTGCTTTCGCGCGAATCCGTGGCACGCATCTCCGGAGAAAATTCGCCACTGCGAATGCGTCGCGGATTACGCCGCGGCAGTGGTTCT